AAATCTATTAATGTCTGTTGTTGTAGTATTTAAAGTTTTTATTTTTACTGTTTGATAGGATATTTATGCTTAAATTTTGCTCAAATCAATGTATTATTTGTTATTTAATAATATTTTGCATGTACCTAAGATCTTTAGTACAGAGTTATTGACAGAAAAGATGATGTTTGTATACATGCAACAGTTTTTTATTCATGTTTTTAGATCATCGGAGTTGGGTTTGTTTGAAAAGCGATTAAGACTCACTAGACTCGCTAGAGTAGGTCTATTCAAATCTGAAGCATGTAGAAAAATTATGTAGGATAATTCAAATCATTTGTAGCATGCATCTTCATCCTTTTAAATGGTAATCCCTCCATGAGATTTCATCTGGGATAACCAATCACTGGAAACAAGTTACTTTGTTATGCATTTTGTTTAAAGTTTTTGCATGATATTATAATATTGAGATATGCATATTATCTTTGGAATGAAGCTTACAACTTTTTTTTGCCCTCCACGAAATTTTACAAGTTTCGATTCTGACATTAATAGTTTAAATCATGAGACAAACTGGGTTTGTCTTCGTTATTTTTGATCGAGGTTCAAAGCTGAAGTAGATCCATAGCCTTACTCTAACTTGCAACTAAGATTGAACCTAATAATTTTTTTTTTTCTGTGTGCGTCATAGGAAATTACTCTCTTTGTTGTGTTCTTGAGGAGAAAATATGGGGAATTTTGATATAACCATAATTCTCCAAGACGCTGAGATTTATTTATATTTGATAATATATTTTCTATGGTCATAAACATCCAATCTTTAATTAACCCTATGTTAGGAGAGCCCTTAGTAAATTATATTTCTTTTAGCTTTCAAACACTTGCGCTTATGATGATGACGTTCTTAAATATGTATGTCTTGGTCAAGGTTGTCAACATGTAAAGTGCAATGCGATGCACAAAAGGGATATTTTCACTTTGAAGCATGAAACACACTTTTTCATTAATTGAAGCATATATGATGCAGGACTACTTAGATGCTAACGTTATGGTTTCATTTGAGCATTGCACAACTATTGAATTAGAATAATTTCAGGACAAAATTATAAGCAATTTTCAAACGACGATTAAGACAAATGAAACGATCCATTGCGTAGGCGAAATCACATGCTCCGAATTTGAACTATCAAGATAATTGAGGAAATAAAAACAGTACCGACTAGTAGTTTTCAAATTAAATCCTTAATCTAACAACGAGACGTAGGATGCATAGAAGATTACACTCAAGTCCTACAAATGACTAAGTTTGGCAAGAGCAATTTGAAGGAGCTTTCGTGATTACAATCTAACCAATTGAGAATTTAGATTTTAGCAGACTTTGAGTGCAAGTGAAGAAGGAAAAAACCTTTGCTCAAGGAGATACGGAGATCTTCCACTTGACATCAGCAATCTCGATCCTTGTTGTAGAGAAAGAAGTTTCTCTAATAAGGGGCTAAGGTTCTTCTTCCATAGGTTGGCATCAACACCTGAATTTAAGCTCAGATTTTGTTCCAGAAATCTGAGAAAATTCTCATATTTTTTTTTTTTGTATGCACGTGAGGTACTTGGGAGAAGAGGACTCAAGGCAATTCACTGGCTTGGCCTAAGGAGAGGAAATGAGCTGTTGATGAGAGGGGAGGATTGGCCAGGTAACGCAAGTCCAGGAAATAGGAGGGGGGCAGGATGATCCACCGTATTCAATTCCCTGGCTTAGAGAGGGAGAATGGCGGTGGGAGAGAAAGGGGAGAGAGAGGCGGCAAGCAGGGTAGGGAGTGGCGGGACTGCAGTAATGGGGAAATTTGATTTCCTGAAATCAAATGCTGACTTTAGGAAATAAATCAGGATTTAGGCGGAGAGAAAGTTTCGGCCAAGGGCTGAGATTGGATGCTTTCAATTATTTCCAAAGTAAGCTGTAGGAGTTAGGAAATAATTTGAAATTGGCATTGATGGGAGAAGGCAGGGAGGCCGGCGGTTATGCAAGGCTGGGGATTTGATTGATGCTAGCAAATAAAGACTTCCTAATTTTAAGTTCTAGGATTAGGAAAGTTTTAAATTAAATCCTCATGAATGAAATTACTCACATGGATTTTATTTAGCACTTTCCTAAAACAGAGTCGCAATATTAGGAAACAATTTGAAATTCAAATATTTAGAATTCAAATTTAAGAATATTCCATCATACATCAAATCCAAAATAGGAAACAAATCAAAGGGGAAAAGGAAAAGAGATGGACGGCTACAAGTGATTATGGCCGGCGGCTTAATGAGCTATGGTGGCGGCAAGGTGGAAGTTCTCGGGTAAAGGGGGACCGTGAGGTTTGGGAGAGGGGAAATGGTCAGGTGAAAGGGCCGGCGGTGAGAACGGATGGTGGGGAAGTTCGTCGATGAGGTGTTGATAAGATAAAGACGGTAAAACCACGAACCCGGCCGTCTCCAAGGTTGGTGGGTGGTGCGCTTATCTCCCTCTCCAAGGGGTCTCTCCAAAGCTCTCCAAGAACTCTCAAAACTCACAAACACAAGTGTAGGAAGAAAATTTTTTTTATCATCATTCATTCATTAGCTCAAAACAAAGGAAATGAGGCTATAAATAGCGGGGTACAAAGACTCAAGAAAATAAAAGACCAACTTGCCCTTTGGGCTTACATGCGACCAGAAAGTTAAACTCAAGAGTTTTTAATGCCTACCTTCAAGAAATTTTAGTTTGAATAGTAGAACAAGAGTTCGTAAGTCTCTCATCCAATGCCTTAAAAAGAGGAGAAAAAGCTAAAGGTATAAAATAAAGTGCAAAAAGAATACTTCATTTTGAAATGGAGAGTTGAGTCCACGTGAGATCATTATCATCTCTTGTTATTCATATGGGCTTCTCCTTCATTCTGTGTTACTTGGTGTTCACATGAAGATTGGCTACCAATTTGCGAGTCATTGCATAAAGTTAGTCATTCTCATAAGTCGGGGTACGATCAAATGCCTTGTTGTTGACTCCCTTTAATTCATCATGGGGGTACGATCAAATGCCTTGTTGTCGACTCCCTTCAATTCATCATGGGTGCTTCGTCTACTTTTGACTTTTGTAATATAATTATATATATATATATATATAAGTTTGCATGCATTTTGTGTTGAGATTCTTTCATGCACTTAACTCATATTGAACTTATTGGGGATTGAGCCTCAGTACTCACTACTCAGGTTAGGCCATTGTTAGGAATAAATATAAATGCATGATAGGTAATTATGTCTGTTATATTTTTTTTATGACTATTAGATTATTATTAAGTTATTAGTTGGTCATTAGGTTTCCTTTTATGATATACATAATCTTCCTTAGGAAGAATTGGGGCATGCAACCAAGATATAGTATAAATTGGGCTTTGGACAGCATCACCTGCCCTCCTTAACCTCTCACAAATTTATCTGGAGTTATGGTCATCATATAGCTTCCAAATCCCTTGGCCCCCCTCAACTATCTAGATTTGTAGGCATGCTTTTACGTTGTTTATCAATAATTTATTTGCTTAATGTGTAATTTCTATTTGTGTTTGTAGTGATGATGCTTTCATTGACCTAGCCTCAATTCGGGTGCTTCGCACCAAACCACTTGCTCATGGCAGCACCAAACCACTAGTTGCAATCACATATCTTCACCTCCCTCTTCCAAATCCCCATTTCCCATGGGATACCCATATCCTATTTTGTCTCCATCTAGTGACCAGATCTCTGTCTTCCCATCCAAGAATATTCTATATCATGTGAACTACCGTCGCATAATCAATCTCTCCGTCCCCTACACTTGTTAAAACCATAACCCCAAATCGTCACAGGTTCGTAACCTGAAGTTGTTGATATGTTCTTCTTGATACAACACCCGCCACCAATAAATTTGCAAATTTTCATATACGTCATTCCAAATTGTAGTTTCCACTTGATTCTTTTAATTGATGGATCTCTAACCATCTCCTTGACATCCTTCTCTCATAAAGAGTGTTTGGTTTCATGACCTTTCTAGATCCGCCATTCCAAGCCACAATTCCGCCTTCACAATGGCAATTATTGTTGCCTTTACCTGATATCACCATTATTTGCTCGACCTTGATGGCAAGTTTGTTGCGAAGAGGTGGGTAATATTAAGAATAAATATAAATTGGTGATCTAGTAGGTATCAGTTAATTAGTTCTATAAGATTATTATTGTGTTATTAGTGGGTCGTTTGGCTTCCTTCTCTTTTAGGGAGTAGTGGGTAGCAACCATGATGCAGAAGAAATGGGGCTTTGGCTAACCAAAAAACTAAAAATAAAAAAACCAAGAAACCCCGCAAAAAAAAAACAAAAAAAAAACTTTTTACTGTGGCCCACACTTCTCCCTTCTCACTATTTGTAGTTTTAGGTAAGTTTTAAGTTTCCTAATTGTCTTGTATTTTCCATAATTTTTTTAGGTTTAATGTATAATGTCTTGTTTGGATTCATAATAGCTATTTTGTATACTTCATTGTTTTGTTTGTAATTAACATCTTCTTTTATTGTAAAATTTTATTAAGCTGACTCTTATTTGTTTAAAAGACATGTAATATGACATTTATGCTGCATATAAAACAGTTGTTTTATGTATGGTTACTGCAAAGTATACATTTCTAGAAGCACCAAGTGAAAGCATGGAAAGTTTATCACTATTACTCTTATTAACTTCGCTTATATTTGAGGTCATTCCAACATTTCTTTTTTCCTTCAAATTGGCCATAGCATAATTTTACTAAGCAAAGAAACTAGAGCAAAAACTCTCGCTTTACCCATTCCAATAGTTTAAACTAATTTAGAACCTTGTACTTCATACAAAAAGGCAAAAAAAAAAAAAAAAAAACTTCCTTTTAAACTTGGTATTCAAATATGTTTGTCACATCAGAATTCCATTTTTTAGAATCTTTGATGCTATTTGAGCTTTCTGTCAATGGAAATCCGATCTTTATCTCCTTATTGTTATTACTTCAGGATGTGTGCTGCTTCTGTTTCAAGAAGTGAAGGTTATTTTCCGGATTAAAGATTTATTTTTTGTTTGTAAATATCTGGAAGAAGATCCGGCTAGTGCTTATTGTTCCTTTGTTGGAAAAGTTCATTCTTTTCCCAGCTATGTGCTCAACAACTAGAGTGTGGTTGCCTACAAGTGAAACTTTATAACTTGCTACATTAGATCAATATAATTCGAATTCCTAAAATTTACTTGTCAGTTGGAAAGGAAAACATCAAAGACTTACGCTTTCATCGCCAAAGAATGTTTCCCACTAAAATGCAAGAGGCAATTAAGTGAGATAGAAAAGTAGTTGCAGATTCAATGTTGTAGCAAGTTGCTGGAAATGTCAGTGTGGTTTTGAAGAGGTTGGTAGTTCCATCGGTTGTATTATTTACATTTCAGATCTTTTTGTTTTGTTTTGTTTTTTAGAAGTGTTCTATGATTGAACTTACAGCCAAAAATGACTTCTAGTGAAGTTCTTTCTATTTCTGAATGTGAGATTTTGCACTACGATGATGCTATTTCAGTGTGTAGGGATGAGTGTGTAAGTAGTCATCAGCATAATGGTAGAGGCCTAAAAATGGATAAATTATCCCGTACCAACTTTGAACGGGAAGAACTGTCCGGGCATGTGAGTGTTCACACTGTGTACACATTGTCTCAAATTTTTGTACACACTGTGCACAGTGTGCACACTCATATAATCATACGGTTTTTTCGTACGGACTCCGCACTGAATAATTTCTCTTAAAAACGACACCCTATGTTAAAGGCATTTATTTGAAACAATTATTTGATAATAATAATCAAAGTGGTTTTATAGTTTGAAATGATTGTTTTTAATGTGAGTGGGTCGAAGGCAAATTGTAGTCTGGATATTTTAGTAGTAATAAACACTTATTCAACATTATATGTTAGTGGTTTGGGGCAATTTTTATTAAAAAAAAAATTGAATCTCATTGGTGAGAGTATTTATTTTTACATCAATATGTTTTTCACCTATTTGATGTAATATATGATTAAATTCAATATTGATGTATCATAATTTTCTACGTTAACTTATATTCTTTATATTCAATATTGAGATTTTCTTGGGTGTTATAAAATTTATAGCATTAGAAAGAGAGCTTATTATATTAGGATTAAATGGGAATTAAATACACTTAAAATAAGAGCAGTTTATAGGAGAGTCTTTTACATGGGAAAGTCAAAATAAATAAATCGTGTAGTATTAGCCATATATTATAAATTATGCATTTTTTGATAGAATATTTTACGGTTTTTTTTCTATAAATTTAAGAGTTTAAAATTTAAAACATAAAAGAATTTTTTAAATTTTTAGAAATAAAACTAAATAATTATATTTATATAATTTTATTATTTTATTATAAATATCTTAAGTCACTGTCAGAATTCATTAAAGTTTTTAATCTACATATTCCCTTGGTTAACAAAGGAGAAATTAGAGAGAAAAGTGAGCAGATTGAAAATAGAAGTTAAGATTTGAAGGATGTAGAACGATTTTTATCTGTCGATTTTGTTGGGAGATATGTTCGTCTCGTTGTAAGGAATCATTTCTCTATTTATGATTTCTGATTTGAATAATTTTTATATATTTTGTGTTTTATGGATTTAAATTTAGTCAAAACTTGTAAAAGTTTTGATGCCTTGATTTTTAGCAAAATATTTTCGCATAACTTTTGATATGTTATCAATACCACTTTTTCAATCGTTTTGAGCATTTCTTTGAAAATTTTCATTGAGTGATTTTAGTAATGATTTTTACCAGTTCATAAATTTATTTTGACATCTAAAAATAGTGCTTTAGTTCAACTAAAGCTTTATATTATTGTCATGCGTGATTTCTGATAATTTGGTTAATTTTTGAAAAAATATATATCTTCTTAGTATATTTTTCTGTTACTTACAAAAATGACATTTTAACACTTTCTGAATTAAGTCTAATTATGCTCTATTTATTATAATGTATTAGAAATGAATATAAGTATGTGGTTGAGTAATTACTTTCTGTTATTATTTACTAGTTTATTGTCACTATCCGGATTTATTATTATTGTATTTGTTTATTGTTATTTCCAATGGTTTTATTGACAACATTATACTAATATTGAGCATGTGACATACTAAGCACATGATATGGTGAGCATGTGATTAAGATATTAATTTGAAATTGATATCAAATAATTGGATAGCATGTATACATCATTATAGGATTTTACTAAATTAATATGATTCCGACAGTCTTTACTGATGCTTTGGTTTTATCGCTTTATATGATTTATTTACGATTCATAGTATTGATACAATAACTACTTTATCAATTCGACATATGTACTGATTTACTGGTTTATGCATCATATTACTTTACTGGCTTTTATAATGTATTATTTTATTGGCTATAGACTAATGTTTATGCATGTACATTTTACTATTTTTACATCGCTTCATGATCATATGACTACTTCTATTTTGAACCTGCATATTACTTCTTTATCGTGCTTCTTGTCAGTTGTAGGATCATATGAATTTGATAGGCTTTTTTTTGCTCATTATACATGGTTAAATGATTTTAGGTTATGGAAGATGATAGCGGGTGTATGAGAATGATCAGATCATGATTCTTTAGGTTTACTATTTTTTTTTTTAATCTTTTAGCTATTCTTTTATACTCAAGACTGATTATGATATATCATATTTATTGTATTTGAATTTAGAATAAGAATACATATGTATTTTAATGTTTTGATTACTAATTTTGTTTTAGTATATTAATAAAAGAGAAATAAATAGCTCTGATATTAATTTAAAAAAACAAAAAGAATAATTCTTCAAAATTTTGATCTTGAGGCATTACACATCTAACCATCGTTGCTCACAAACTATGGTTCTTTTGACTACCATCGCCCGCCGACTACGATCCTTCCAACGTTCGTTGTCATCGACTACGGTCCCTTCAAACCGCGTCGCTTGCCGACCACGCCCCCTTCGACCACGTCGTCCACCGGCTATGGTCCCTCCGACCTCCATCACCTGCCAACTGCGATCCCTCCGACCTCTTTCACTGGTCAACTACGATCCCTCTGACTTTAGTCGCCCGCAATAACTACCCCTCCAACCACTAATGATATGCATGCTCATTTTAAATATAAAACATTTCTATTAAAAAAAATTCATTTTGAACATGATTATCAATATTAAGCATATATCAAATCTTTATCCTTTCTATAAATAATAAAATCATCATGATAGGCAACATATAAATTATAAATTGCTCTTGATTTAATTTGTCATATTTTAAATTAGTTTATTACTTATTTAAATTTCTCATATATTTTTAAGTTATATGTTCTCTTTTTCTCTTTCTAAATTTACTACGAATTTCAATTAAAAATTCAAAACTTAATGGATAATATTTTAAATATATTATTATAATTTATTTGCCATTAATTTTTTTTGCTTATAATTTATTTACAATCCAAAAAAATATGGGTTTAGTATGTAACTACTTTATACTAATTAAATAAAAATTAATTAAAAAAGATAATAAAATAGTCACATAGAAGCTTTTTTGCAATTATATAACATAAATAAATATCAATAAACTTATTCATTCAAATTGAAAAGTGAGAAGGGATTGTGTTTAATTAGTTTGAAAAAAATCAAAAAGCTTAAAACCAAACATAAATATTTATTTGAATAAGAAACATAAATAATCAAATTTCTTAATTTATTTATCTTATTAAAATTATGACATAAAATTATCTTGAATATGATATTTATATATTCTCTCACAAAAAATAAAACTAAAAAATTAATTATACTTTTTCTATAAACAAGCAATGAAATGAGCTTTAAGCTAATTATTATCTCTAAGTGAAATTATTTGAAAGTATGATATCTTTTAAGACTTAGGTTTCGTTTGGAATGGGCCGGGAGGCTTTTTTATTGCTTCTTAAAGTAATTTTTTAGTAAAAATTTAAAATTTATTTTAAGAAGTACAAAAAAAAACTATCACAACTAAAATCTTAAACTCATAAAAAGTACTTAGGTAACTTTCTGGCTCCCTTCTTCTGCCAAATCCCATAAATCCGCCGAACCGAGGGATTTTGTAAATCCGGGATTTACCCGCCTGGATTTAGGCTTTGTTTGTTTGAGCGTTTTTTTGCCTTCTCCGTTTTCGGAAACCGAGGATTTTTTTTTGTGTTGTTTGGTTCGTCAAATCATGTTCCAAGTAACCCTTTTTTTTCTGCAGTTTTGAGAAAGCTTTTTATATGTACTTCTCCGTTAGAAAACTGCATTTTCTGAACTAATATTTTTTAAAAGCAAAAAAAAAAAAACAAACGAAGCTTAAAGGTCGCACTGAAACCGCTTGGCTGGATTTAGCGTAAATCCGACTTAAATCCCGCTGTAAATCCGATACCAGACAGCCTAGAAGAGTAAATCGTCCAGTTCCTCTTTCCTGTCTTTCACATATAAGAAGAAATTGGGAGCAAGGATTTGGGCACAATTCGTCTACAATGATCGTTGTGAACACGCCGAGGCCGAGCCAGGAGCTTGCCTTCACCAACTACGCCTACTGCTCCACCGGAGATTTACGGAAGTTTGCAATCCCTGGATCCAGCCTTGCTCAGGTTATCATTGGAGATTCTGTCGTTCTTACCCTTGTATATCCTTCATCTGACCTTTTATACATTCAGATCCTTCATTTTTTTGGTTGGTTTCCTTAATTTTTCTTTAAATTTATTCGATTGCTGGTTTAATCTGTTTAAGATTCATTATGTTTTTTTGTGTTAATCCTTAATAAATTCATACTAGCCATGGTAACATTATGGATGGTCAAATTGCTCTGAATGCTGTTCAGCGTCGGAACACAAAAGTCTCTGTTGGGGATCAAATATCTGTTATCACGTGAGGCTTTTTTTTTTTCTCTACATCTTGTTTTCATTTGGCTGTTTTTTCTTAGCATTGCGTGTACCTCTGTGTTCTTTTTTAACATTGTGAGATATGGTACAGATTTTTTCCACCAGCTAGTTTTTTTCTGGCATTGCTTAATCTTGAGCTGGATTATGTTAAAGCAAAAGACAATAGAAATGAAGAGGTGTGTGCATATAAACAACATAAATGCCAAAGAGTAACTTATGATTTTTTTTTGTATTGCCAATGCTAAATGAATGAATTTCATTCTTTGATGCTGACTATGATGTTTCTATTGCAGTTAGATGCTGTTGTTCTTGCACAACATCTTCATAAGAAGTATAATAATCAGGTTAAACAATCATATTCCTTTCTATTGTGTTCATATTATCCTTTTCTAAATTCCTGTATTGATGATCATGGGTTCTGAACTTTAAGATATAGATTTTGACAAAAAAGTAAATATTACATTGAAGTTATATTGGAGGAGTGTAATCATAGTTTTTTTTCCATCTTTTAACCTTGCCAGTTTTTTACCACATCAAAATTATTTTTTTCTAAGTTATGATAAACTCTCTCTCACACATGTGCACGCATGCAATTTTCTAATTTTGTACACGCATAGAGATGTGTACGAAGCTCTGGTGTTATTTGTTTTGCTGCCTTTATGAATCCATCCCATGATAAAAATATAACATAAGGGCAGATTATTTATATTTTTACCATTTATGTTAGCTTACAATTTGGTTTGGATTTTTTAAAAATTAAGAGGCGATTTTTCCAAAGTGAATACATATTTTTAGGCAAATATTTTGATATGATGGAGACACTAGAGTATTGTATAAGTAAATATATAAGCTTAGGCATTAGATATATAAATGCATAAGAGTTATGTGGTATGCATGTAAATCCTACAAAATTTAATTATTGGTTATCTATGTCAAAAACAATTATTATAGTTCATTAGGCATTAGACATGTATCTCTCTTTTTGAACCTCCTATCTCAACTTAAACCCAAGGTTGGAAAAGGAAGATATGATTGCATTGCTCTTTCTTTCTCTACTAGCAAGACATCGTGCCACTATGAGGTTATATAGGTTCCCAAACCCTGATGTAACCAAAAATGCATTTCTCCGTTCCATTCTTTCAAATTGTTTTGTAGCTCCAGGAATTTGAAGGCAACATGTTGAAAATAATAGCTATTATATAATGAAGTCATTATAGTGGATTTCCTAGATACATTTAACTAAGGAATATAGTTGAAGTGCATAAAATGATAATCTTTCCATTAAATATTTTTGGCTAAATGATTAACTTAAAATTCCATCGCATGCAAGCTTTAAATTTTGCTAAGTAAACTATCTTAAATAAATTTAATTAAACCAATTTATTTTGTAACATATGTAGCCTTGCAATAATCTACATTTAACAAGTGTTGTTAAAGTTGATTTAAGTGTTTTCTTAGGTTTTTTTTATTGAGATAAGGTAAGGCCACAACGCTTCTCACATCTCTTATGTATGTGCCATAATAAAATGTGTTTATGGGCGTGCCATGCAACACTACCATTGCGAAGTCCCAAGTCCTAGATGAGATAAGTGGAGGATTGCATTAGGTAGTCGAAAACCAACATAAAACTTGTTGAATAATTATGACATGAATCTTTTAATATAATGTGTTAATGCTAGGACGTTCCCCGGAAGTGATGCATTGTATAGCCTGAATACAACGAGAAGTGTGCAAGGGCTGCTGCATCGCGCCCAGATGTAATGTTAAATAGGCAAAGGGTTTCTACATTATGGACGAATGTGAGCAAAGAAGCTAGTACATGAAACTAAAATTAGGTTAGGATCGTAGAATGTAGATTCATTTATAGACAAATTAATTAATAAAATTAATTGATATTATGATTCATAGGAAGATACATTCTATGCATTCAGAAAATTAAATAAGTGGGAGAGAAGACTAAGAAAATTGATAGTTTACGGTTTAAACTTTGGTATTATGGTATGAGTCATACTAGAAATGGTATATGTGTGATTATAAATAAGAGTTTGAAATATAATATTATAAAAAATGATAGAATTGTATATAGAATTATAGTTTTAAAAATTAATGTTGATGATAAGATTATTAATATTATAAATGCTTATATTCCTCAAATAAGTTTGGATATATGATTAAAATTAAAACTTTTGAATGACTTAGAATATTATTAATATAAAAGATACCTCATGAAGAAAGAATTTTTATTGGAGGAAATTTAAATGGACATGTTGGTAGCTATGACGCACCGACACGGACACGGCGACACGGACACGACACGGACACGGGACATGACATTTTTTAAAAAATATAGAACACGGGTGCGGCGTGGACACGTCATAATAAAGTTTTAAAATAATATACATAAATTAATGTGACATTATATTAAACATGACAAACAATAATAAATTTGTCATGATAACTTGTTTAGCTTATAACATAAAGATGTTTAATACAAAATGTCTAGTACAACCACAAAAATATAACCAAAAAATTATTTTGTATAACATGAAAGTTCAACTACTCAATAGAGGGAATGATAGAATTAGATTCGGAGGGTGGTCTTTGGCCTTCAATATCATCATCATTGAATATCATTGCTTCCAACTATGGTTCATCTAAAAAAATATTTGCAACCTCCAATAATCTCATATCATCAAGGCACTCGAACCCATCTCTAGCAACATCCCACATCTTGTTATCACCTGTCATATAAAGTGGGATTTTCCTTGATATAAGACGAAGATTTGTATGCACATAAACTAAATCTTCAGCTCGTTGTGGAGTTATTTTATTCCTTTTTATTGATTGAATAAAAGAGGATGTGCTCCAATTTCTCTCACAACAGGAAGAGGATGATACTTGACCAAGAAGTTTTAAGTGCCGACGCTCCATGAATTAACCACCACATTTTTGGATCTATCCTTCATCTATCAATCAAAGATTCTTGATCACAAAAATCCTCTACATATCCAAAGAACTTTGCAAGTTTTATATTAATTTTTTTTCTCTCCTCATTAGGGAAATATCGTTTCAAGCATATCTTTCTCATATTTGAAACTTCTAGATCTTTTTGTGGTGAGACACGTTGAGGATCTTCTAGAAGCCATTCTTTATTTGAATACCTTCAAATAATACAAAGCATATAAAATACAAAGCATATAAAATTATATGTTCATTAACTAAAAAATTTTAATTAATTTAAAATATGAATATGAATGTACCTTGGATTTAATAAATGAGCTAAACAATATAGTGGTTATTGCTTTTGCTCTTATCCTCTAGAATGATATAGACAATACTTCAAAAACTTGAGTCTTCTTCATGTGACTTTCTTTCATTTCTGTAAATAATTTTTTTCACTTTTGCTAACATAGAATCCCAAATCTCATAAATCAATTATAGGCATGATTTATCATTGTCAGCCTCTCTCAACATATCATAGATTGGATCAGTGAAAGCCAAAATGTAGTCTACATTATCCCACCACAAATCATCTAAGATCTTTTCTTTAATATACCTTGCCTTCCCAACATCATCTTCTCGATAGCAAGACCACTTCTTACTAATCACCATAGATTGAAGAGCATTTTTAATTTGCTTGAATCTTCTCAACATGATTATTACAAAGGCAAAACGAGTTTCAACAACAACTAACATTCTCAAGTGGGAGAAGTCATTAAACATTAAAAGTCTCATCAAATGATTCATAATAAAATTTCTGATCAGAACAGCATCATCTGCAGCCATTGTTATCCAATGACATTCATCCAAGGTTTAAAATTGCATAATTAAGCCTCGAGGAACACAGAATAGCGTAAGTGAGAAATTAAGGGTTTTAGCAGGATAATAATAGCAATATTCTATCTTACAATAAAAACATCTAAATGATATATGAAAATAGTGGAAAGTAACAAAATACAACAACAACAATAACATCAAGCCTTTATCCCACTATGTGGGGTCGGCTACATGAATCTTTTTTCTCCATTGTGTCCTATTAAAAGTCAAATTCTCGTTTAGATCTAATAAAGAAAGGTCATTCATAATATTTTCTAACCATGTCTTTTTAGGTCTACCCCTACTTTTCTTAACATAAGTCAAATATAATACCTCTACTCCTAACCGGGTCATCGGAATGCCGCTGTTTTATGTGACCAAACCATCTAAGGTGAATCTCTCTAATCTTATCTTCTATTGGAGCTACGCCAACCTTTCCACGTATATGCTCATTTCGTATCCTATCTCTAAGGGTAAAGCCACTCATCCACCTAAGCATCCTCATCTCTGCCACACTTAACTTAGTATTATGCTTCTCTTTTAATGGCCAACATTCGGCACCATAAAGCATTGCAGGCCTCACTACCATCTTATAACAAAATAGATGTAATAAAATATGTCTCAAAGTACAAAATCACAAAATATTAGTTCAACAAAACTCCGAAATTATAAAGAACAGAAAATGCAATCATATCCCATCACTAAATGGGTCTTCAAGGGAATATTCTTCTTCAATTGTATCTATGAATGTCATATCATCATCATCTTCAATATGACTCACTTTTCTCTTTCCTATTCAATAAGAGAAAAGATCATTATCATGTTAATTGCTCACTTGATATAAATATAATGCTATATCATATAAGAAGTTGTGGAATACTTTTACTTGATTGTTGTGCTGCAGAGCTAGTGGATGTGTGTGGTGTGGTACTAGTGGATGTGCCAACTTGATCTGCTTCGCCCCTCAAGACATCCACACTTAGATCTTCTAGCTGTAAGACATCCACACTTAGATCTTCTAGTTGTAAGTATGATAATGGCAAATCTGTCTCATATTCTAGCTGTATGCACTGACATTATCAGTCACTACCTGGACAACCAATTGTTCCTCAATCTCCTCAATAATCCCATCAAGTAAATTGAAAATGAATGTAGCATTTTTCACCTCATCTGAAGCTTCAACTGATCGTAAAAACACCGTGCCGTAGGGATTGTTGACAAGGATGTTAATCAAGCTCCTGCTCTTCATGTCAAACCATTCATCTCACATAATGGTAACACCAGTCTCAATCCATGTTCTTTTAATCTCATCAATGCTCCGCTCTGTGTTCTGCAGCTCCTCCTAGAAGGCGGCCGGACGCTTCAAGTTCACCGGAGAGAGGCGGCGCCGACGGGAGAGGCGGCGGGACTGGAGGCCGACCGTGCGGGATCCTCTGTTTCGCGAACTGCGACTTGCAAGAGGGGAGCTTTCGGGAAATGCCTGGAGCCGAACGGGTGGTAGGGAAAAAAAGGCTCATTTTAAGTAGGT